GCCGATTAAGCGCTCAAACACTAACAAACTGACAAGATCTTTCGCTGTCTATAGCCGGGTACCCATTCTCACCTGGGTTAAGTGAGGAAAATTCGTGTAAAGTGCCTTTCCCAAGGACACAACGTCGGGCCCTTGACGGGATTCGAACCCACGACCTTACGGTTGCGAGTCCGAGAGCCTAACCACTAGGCTACCGACGCCACGTATACCTATATTATTATACACTATCTGTACAGTGGAATCCGCTTAATAAACTGAAATCTGCAGAAATACTGGATTTTCTTCGATTTAGTCATGTTTTCAGTTTAGAGAGCTTGCTCAAATAGCAAGGAAAAAAATCGAGGATTCTATTTCTTTTTTTCCGATTTACACTGTTTAGCTATCATTAACTGTGTTCAGTCAAAACGGACTACACTACACATACTAAGTAATTATTACATGTAGTTTATAAATATAATTTAAGCCCCTTGCATCTTGATAAGTTTATTATATATCTGATGAGGCCCCATGTACGAGTACATAATATACATGATTTTCATAACGTTTTTTTTTACATAGGTATTATTACGTCCATATCTATACAATTTATATCATTTAGGAGGTAGGCTTCGGCCTTGCCTGTCAGAGCCAGTCACCCCTAATTATAAATGTGTTATGCATCTGTCAATACAATTCAGATAATTATTTCGATGCTTGAGCCAAGAGATAGATCTAGTCTATAGTCTATTATAGTTTAGTTTGGAAAATGACCAGTTTCACGTTTTGTAATTATTTTGTTGGAGTTTTAAAAGGGTTTCTTTTTCTTTCTTTCATTATTTATTTTGGGGTGGGGGTAAAGAAGGTTGGGGTGAGGTCACTATGTATCATTTATTACCGTAGCCTACTTGGTCCAAAAACCATAGATAAATGATATTTCATGAGGGGGGTTTTTTTCATTGCTTTTTTTATTAACTTTTGTTCCCCTTCTGCCTTTCACAACGCAGCAAGCCCGAAAACCCTATGATGTAAGAGACGTGATTGAGCAGTACTCTCAGGGCCACTTGAATATGATGGTGCGAATCAAAGAACTGCAGCGAAGGTGAGTTCCATTACATTAGTTAGGATTTTTAGGGTTTTTTTCCCTTTCCGGTGGCTTTTTTTTTAAAAGTTCAGTACATGTACGGGGCCTACAAAAAAAGGGCACAGAAAGACGTGAAACTCTTTGCAGATGGAATGTAAGCTTGTCAATAAATTGTCTGTGTAGAAATACAGTATAATAACAAGGATAGCTCGAATTCGTCGGGACCAGCCTCTGTAGTTCGAGGGATCCGTAGTTTGAGGGATACCTTACAAAGATAAAGAAGAAAAAAAAAAACGGGACTGCAGGCACAGTTCGAAGGATGTGAGATTTCGAATCTTCTGTGTTAGAACTATCCATGTTATACTGTATAATATATAAT